TTTTATAATAGTTTAGAGTACATTAATGAGGTACCCATTGTGGATTTGCTGGTGGTCATAATGAGAAAGGCAGAAAAACTGTGGAGGCAGTAGTTTATTCTAGTAATACACTGTGATTAAATGATAACTTGTATAGGATTCTTAATTGCTTTGTAACCGTCATGGTAAACTGAAATATTCTCTCATTCCCAGGCAGACATCATGAGTTTCACAGATGCTTGGAAAATGTCCACAGCATTTCTCTTAAAGAGTTGACTGTGGCTGTCACCTTGATTGACCTGTTTTAAGAATCATTTCAAAGAAGCCTTCTATGGCTTTGCTGGGTGTTTCAAACAAATAAGTTTTTCAGAAATACCACTCTGGTCCTCTTCCCCTTTCTTTCCTTGGTAACGTGTAAGCAGTGTTCAACAAGTAGTTTGGGTACCTTCTAACTAGGTGTTACTAGGTGTAACTGGGTGTTACTCAGTGAAACCTTAGTTTTCCATATCCCTCAACTGCCAAAATTGCTTGAGCATAGAAATTTGTTTTATGGGTGTTTCTTACTGTTTATTTTATTTTATTTATTTATTTATTTTGAGACAGAGTCTTGCTGTGTCACCCAGGTTGGAGTGCAGTGGTGCAATTTCAGCTTAGTGCAACCTCTGCTTCCCAGGTTCAAGCAGTTCTCTGCCTTAGCCTCCCTAGTAGTTGAGATTACAGGCGGCTGCCACCTCACCCGGCTAATTTTTGTGTATTTTTAGCAGAAATGGGGTTTCACCATCTTAGCCAGGCTGGTGTTGACCTCCGGATCCACCAGCCTCAGCCTCCCAAAGTGCTGGGATTACAGGCGTGGGCCACCATGCCCAGCCTCTTACTGTTTATTTACTCTACTTGTCTATGAGTATTGAGGCTCTGCCTAAAATTAAGTTTTTAGTCATTATAGGTACAATATAGTATATGCTAGCTTATTCAGTTTCTTATGTATGTTATCTCTTTATGTGATCCTTAGTTCTTGGTGCAAGGTTGGTTAGCACCTTGTGACCAATAAGTTATCATTTCATTCCCATTTACTTGGTGAATGGAGGCTAGTTTGTTTCAATTATTTCCTTTGTCCCTGAACAGTCTGAAGATGATGAGAAACTGAAAAAGAGGAAGGAGCGATTTGGGATTGTCACAAGTTCAGCTGGAACTGGAACCACAGAGGATACAGAGGTAAAAATATACCTGGAATGCTTCATAGACCTTGAAGGGAAATTAGAGTGAATAAACTGAATGGAGAAATATTGTTTCCCCACCTATTTATTTACTTATTTAAGTAGAGATGGGGTCTCTGTTACTCAGGAAGTGAGTGAATAAACTGAGTAGAGAAACACTGTTTTCCCACCTACTTTGTATGTATGTATGTATGTATGTATGTATGTATGTATGTATGTAGAGATTGGGTCTCATTCTGTTGCTCAGGCTGGTCTCAAACTCTTGAACTCAAGCGATCCTCCGCACTCAGCTCCCAAATTGTTGGGATTATTATAGGCATGAGCCACTATGTCTGACCACCCACCTACTTCTTAAGTGCCCAAATATTTTGCCTTTTTCTTGATAAATTTTTTTCTGGATGAAGTGGCAACACTGAATTCCATCAATATACTTAATTCAGTGTTAGAGTCTATTAGACTAGTGGCAAAGAGTATAACGTTTGGAATCAGGTAGGCTTGGATTTTAAAAGTGGCTCTGGGCTGGGTGTGGTGGCTCGTGCCTGTAATCCTAGCATTTTGGGAGGCTGAGGCAGGCAGATCTCTTGAGCCCAGGAGTTCGAGATGAGCCTGGGCAACATGGAGAAACCCTGTCTCTACTAAGAATACAAAAATTAGCCAGGCGTGGTGGCACACACCTGTAGTCGCAGCTACTCAGGAGGCTGAGATGGTTGAGCCCAGGAGGTCAAGGCTGCAGTGAACCTGGATGTCGCCACTGTACTCCAGCCTGGGCAATAGAGTGAGACCCTGTCTCAAAAAAGAAAAAGGCAGCCAGGCACGGTGGCTCATGCCTGTAATCCTAGCACTTTGGGAGACTGAGGCGGGCAGATTGAGGTTGGGAGTTCAAGATCAGCCTAGCCAACATGGTGAAACCCCATCTTTACTAAAAATACAAAAACTTAGTCGGGTGCAGTGGCGTGTGCCTGTAATCCCAGCTACTCTGGAGACTGAGACTTGAGAATCTCTTGAAACCGGGAGGCAGAGGTTGCAGTGAGCCAAGATCATGCCACTGTACTCCAGCCTGGGCTACAGAGTGAGACTTGGTCTCAAAAAGAAAAAGAAAAAGGCTTTGCCACTTAGTATTAATAAGTTATAGTACTTCCTGAGCCTCAGTTTCATCATCCAGGAAGTAGAGATAATATACCTACCTCAAAGTGATATTTAAAGAATGAAACGATTCTGTGTAAAAAGGGATAGTTTTAAAATATTTAATAAGTACTGGTTGTGCCTAACTCCCTTCTGGAAAAGGACAATGGACTCAAATGAGATTTTCTGTTCTTGTCACTTTGTTTACAGATAGTTTCTCAAAATGAAAGAATCCCAGCACTTTAGGAGAGCAGTGTGGGAGGATCACTTGAGGTCAGGAGTTGGAAACCAGCCTGAGCAACATAGTGAGACCTCATCTCTACTAAAAGTTTTTTAAAAATTAGCTGGGTGTGGTGGCATGTGCCTGTAGTCCCAGCTACTCCAGAGGATGAGGTAGAGGTTGCAGTGAGCCCAGATTGCACCACTGCACTTCAGCCTAGGGCAACAGGAGAAAGGACGCTGTCAAAAGAAAAAAAAAAAAAAAAATTATATATATATATACTTATATATATATGTGGCTGTTCCTTGCATTTGCTATAAAGGAGAAATACATGAGACCAGGAAGCATGGTGGCTGTCACTGGCTTTGCTTCGTGGGAGGCCTCAGCGGAAGCTTACAATCAATGGTGGAAGAAAATGGCCATATTCTACCAAAACTTAACTATCTTGGGAGGACTTTACCAAACAGGATGATGCTTATTGGAAAAGTTTTTTTTTTTTTTTGTTTTTGAGACAGAGTCTTGCTCTGTCGTCTAGGCTGGAGTGTGGTGGCACAATCTCAGCTTACTGCAACCTCCGCCTCCCAGGTTCAAGTGATTCTTCTGCCTCAGTCTCCTGAGTATCTGGCATTACAGGCGCGTACCACCACACCTGGCTAATTTTTGTGTTTTTCGTAGAGACGGGGTTTCGCCGTGTTGGTCAGGCTGGCCTCAAACTCCTGACCTCATGATCTGCCTGTCTCGGCCTCTCAAAGTCCTGGGATTACAGGCGTGAGCCACTGCGCCCGGCCTATGAAAAGCTTCTTTATGAATAAGTATCAGAGTTAGTCTTGTAAATTAAACCCTGAAAATTTTAGAATCAGATCAGTTAGCACTCTTCACTAGAAAAAAGCCAGAGGAGTTTGTATTCTGTGAGGGGCAGTGGTTGGGAGTGCCCATGAAGGACTTGGTGCTGTTCTGTGAGTCACTTCCAGAACTAGAAGTCTTCCCTCACCATTTTGTGTCCTCTCCAGTGTTGCTGCCTCCTTTAAGAGATCTGTGATAGGGACTCACCCACATACCACTCACTCCCTGTTCGTTCTGTTGGCATCAAAGATTTATATGCCTTTTTTGTGAGTTGGAGTCCTAAGGAATAGCTACTGTCTGGGCCTGACTGCTCAGAAGGGCATCTCCTTCACCTCTGTGAATAGCATTTCTTAATCCTTTATCCTCTGAAATCTTCCATCTCCCCATTGACTGGAAGACTTTCCCCAGCCTGTTAAGAGCCTGTTGTTTCCAGGCTAGCTGATCTAAGGCTGAGTGGTCTTCCTTCAGGAATCTTCCCATTTTCTACCACTGTTCTCTCTCTTCCTCGCCCTCAATAATCTTTACTCCTCACCCTCCTTAGCCGCTAAACTTTCCCAGCTCCTCCTGGTTAACTGGAAAGATTGGAGAGATTCAGGAATGAAATCTCTAGCTGCCAAGCTCAAGTCTGGGCCATCCTTCCTTCTCGGGCCTTGTGACAGTTCATGTGAGTTTGGGTTAAAGCAGCCAGGAACCCAGGCAACTATTGTCTTCAGTCTAATTTTTTTCTTCTTGCTGCTTCTTTACAGGCAAAGAAGAGGAAAAGAGCAGAGCGCTTTGGGATTGCCTGATGAAAAGTTCTTGATACTATCTGTTCTCCAGTGTTTTCCATTTCTCTCATTCTTCTTGGTCACATATATGCCTAAATGCACAGTCACGTGCCTACGTCCTGCCTCGCAATGAGGGAGCATGTACCCCAGGTACATCTGTGAACTGCCGCAGCAGTTTGACTTATTGCTGTTTCAGCTTTAAGGTTGTTGTGTTTTTGTTTTTGATTATGTTGCTCGTTAATAAAAAAAAAAAAAAAATAGAAAAGAGAACAATGTGTTTTATTAGGTGCTCCTTTGATTTATTGGAGCCAGATTAGACCAGATAAGAGGAGCTTCAAGGGCAAATATTATAGAGAGAGAATTGGCCGTAACATCTTTATCCCTTAGAAGAGAAGACGAGGAAAAAGATTGAGTTTACCCTTTAAGCCTATTTATTCCCTTCTCTCATACTCACAAGCATTTTTTATCCTCTGTGAAGAGGTTAAGTTACCCACCCACCAAGTCTTTGCTCCAGCAGCTTGTAGTGACCCGCTGAAATAAAACAGAACATGGGAGGTTTTAGGTGTTGCAAAGGACATAAATACAAGGGCAGTGATTAGCAGCCTTCTGTTCCGAGCTAATAATGCTGACTTTTTCTTGGATAAAATAGAGTCCAGGGTCCCACATTAGAGGAAAAGGGCCCTCATTTCAAGGGTGGCCTGGCATGATACTGTGTTGGTCAGTCAGTTCAGGAAGGGAGATGGGCTGGATATCCCTCAGAGATAGAAGAAATTTTGTGTGCGGAATCAAAGCATGACAGAGGATGTCAGAGCTGTTACACATTGTTAGCTAAGTCATTGGGAACATAAGCAGTGGAACTGGAGGCTTCAAGTTCATGTAGGTCTGAAACCTCCTACTTAATCTTTTTGTATATGTTAGTGCAGAGTTTCTCCTCTTAATCTTTATGTAAGCTTGGTTTTTGTTTGAGTTATTTTTGGTAATAAGATTTAGGAGCCTGGCACCTTACCTGAAAACTTTGGTACTATGATCAGATCCCATGTTGCTGTGGTATAATCCTTTATCCTTATTTCTACTAAAACCTGCCTGGTTTTGTGCTTAATGAAATGGTAATGGTTTGATCACCTTTCTAATGTCAAGAATCTCTTTATTTCTCTAAAGTCTCTGGTTGGTGAGGAAGGCAGGGACCTAAAGCTTAGATACTTTAGGAAAATTGTGCCTCGGAGAGCAGATCCAAAAACTGCTGCCCATTTGTTGTGAAGTTTGCCCCATTCTGAGACTTTGGAGAAGTGAACAAAAGGGAATGCTGGTTAAATTTCTGACACCTCCTCATCCAAATAAACCTTACAATTGGAATGACCTTCCCTTTTTCCGTCTTTTCTGTCTGCCTCCCTTTTCTTTACCTCAGGCTCTGATCTTGGGGCTAGCTTTTCCTGTCTCTACTCTGTCTGCATCTGAAAACAGAATAGATCTTATTTGTAATTTGAGATATCATAGATTCACTAATGGTTTCTACCTCAATGTGGTTTTAAAAAGAGAAAAATGCATGAGGGAATAGAGCAGATGCTGACTATGAAGTGGAACAGTGGATCTTTTGGAAGTTTTCTTCACTTTGTCTCTTTATCCTCTATAACCTTCCAGAAAGATATTCAGCCTTACTTGCCAGGATTCTCTTCTTGAAGCCTAATTATTCTCCTCACTCATCTTCCCCCAGATCTTTGAACAGTGTTTTCCAATTGGTGAGGATATTTTTTTTCTTACTAACCTTTTTCTTCCCATTTCAGCAGCTGTTCCTGTGTTGGTCAGAAGTCTCTAACCTCCGAGCCAGATCAAATCCTCCCCTTCCTATCTCGTTATAATAATTCCCCACATACTCTTTGAACATGAATAGTTTAGGATGCCTTTTTCCCAATTCAGTTTTAAAACAGTAATTCCATTTGGAGATGGAACAGACATTGAGGCTTGTAATTGTTTACCTGAGATCTTAGTACCCTTCCTTCCTATCCCCCAGTTTCCCTACTGTAGCTGATCCAGCATCCAGATGTGGTTAACTGATTCCAATTCCTGAAGCTGTGACATTCTCTGCATACCTGGAAGCTCTTAATGAGGGAGTCTATAAAAGCTGTGGGGAGAACTAGCTTCCTCAGCTGTAAATCTGTACTTTTTTATGGTTCTCTAGGATTATTCTCTTTTTTTCCACTCTCACTCTAAACTGCCCAGCCCCTCACCCCATCTCTTAAGAACTGAAGATAGAGGCTAGAAGCTTCTGTGAGGATGAGGGCTATAGGAAGGAAGGTGTGAATAAGGTCAGGACTTCTTGGTGTTGAGCTGAGTTTTCTTGCTGTGTCTGACATGACGAGTGAGGGAGGAGCTTAAGGGAGGATAACTTTTTTGCTGTTCTCTTATATGATTATTGGAATCCCCCCAAAATTTAACCTCCCCTTCTCTTGCCATATCTAGGCTTTTCTTGTTTTTCCCTCCAAAGGGATTGACAATTACAGATTTCACATCTTTCCAGATTCTTTGAGCCCAAGGTGTCCCCAACTTTCTTGTTATCTCTTTCCCTTGTGTTGTTCCTGTATTTAGGTTTCTACCTCCTGGATCACTTTTAATAGGATAGATTAGAATGTAATATTGTTTAGCAACTACTTAGGTTTAATTTCTTGTTCTGCCACACTAGCTTTGAGACCTTGGGCCGATAATCATTCTCTTTTCAGACTGTACCAAAAGGAACCCCATTGTGAAGGTTGCTGTGTGAATGAAGTGATATTCTCATATCATGTATTCACACTACAATTTGATTACCATAATTTACATAGTAATCATTTAATAAATATTAGCTCTTAATCTTACTGGGTGTCAGGGTACTATGGAAATACATACTTCTTTCCGAGTAGGTTCTAGCTAGGTGTGAGTGCCCTAGTTTGAACATGTTTGTGTGTGCATACACCCAGTTAGCAGTTGTATTTGGAGAAAAAGAAAAGGCAGAAAGAGTCCCATTCACTCCTTCAACCCCAGCTCACTGGCAGGAAAGCTGGACATTGTTGCTTTGGAGCATTGACTTTCCTGTTTCTGCTCCACTATAGACCAGAAGCTGTAAATGCCACTGCCTGCTGATTCTTAGCTTGGGGCCCCTGCCATTTAAAATATGGGCAAGGTCAGAGTATAGGATAGCTTCTCATGCCCTTAGTTGGAGGATGTTTTAAGATAAAGAAGAAAAGACTTGTAAAAAGTCATCTTGAGTGGTTGGTCTCTTTTGGGTGTTCTCTCAGTATAGGAAACAAGTGAGCCACGGGGAGAGAAAACCCATTTTCAGCTCAGGACAAAGTTAGGGGTAGATGTGGATATAGTTCCCTTGGGAAGATAGAATACATAACACTTCTGCTACTCAACCAGTTCCAGCCTCAGTCTTGTAGTTGGTCTCCGGTAGGGTCAATGTGCTGAAAGAACTGATAAGACAGGGAAAGCATGGCAGTACACTGAACCCTCAACAGCCCTGTCCCCAATTCTGGATCAGGTTGATGTCACAGGAGCTTTCCTTATTTTTATTTTACTTTTTTTTTAGAGACAGTGTCTTACTATGTTGCTCAGCTTGGAGTACAGTGGCTATTTACAGGTCCAATCATAGCACACTGCAGCCCTGACCCTCTGGCCTCAAGTGGTCCTCCTGCCGCAACCTGCTGAATAGCTGGAACTACAGGAGCACACCACTGGGTCCTGCTTTCCTTATTTTTTAAAAATGTGAGTCAGGCAATATTCTTTTGCCATTCCCAATTCATATGCCCGGGGAATTGTGCTCTAGTTACATGGGAAAAAATTTTACAGTGAACTGAAAGAATATTTGAGATGCTATTTTAGCCACTCTTGTGTAACAAGGCAAGTTGGATGGCTATGTTGGTTTACAGATTTTTGTCAAACTTCGTTGAGGAAACCTAGGAACAGGGACTGCAGGAGAATAGGACACTAGCTGGATCATCTCAAGAGAATCTTTAGATCTTCCATTCTGTGGAGGCTGGGGAGAGGGGTTTTGTAGTCTTTGGGACTGTTTCGGCTCAAGCTTTTCAGAAAGGGGTTGTTCTAGTTGCCCCCAGTTTCCTGTCCTCTTCCCATCCTTCCTTGGCCTGCATGTCCCAAACCTCATACCACCATGCCCTTAGTGTTTTCTGTCTTGCTCCAGGACCCCATCTTCTTAGTCATTGAATACGAGGTTTCCTGTCTCAGATCCTCTTCACCTCTGGTTCTCCAAGGTGTAAATGTGGCACTTGATTAGGGAGAAGAGCTCAGCACTGAATTCTAAACTCTTTGACTGCTTTTATTTTTTTTTTCAGGTTCAAGTGCTGGATTGTGTCATGTGACCATCCCAAAACTCAGAGCACCCTATGGCCATCTTTGCCCTCTGTCACATAACTTGAAAACTGCCTGATGGCCTTTTTGCAGTGGTTCCCTCCAGGAAGCCTTGATCTCAGTTGAAGAAGTTCTTTCCCGGCATTCCAGTGCCCCTGTCAGCTCCATACTCCTCAGACACCCTTAACAAAGGCTGTCATGCACACAATGTAACAAATACACAAAATAAATGATAATTACACTAATAATGATATGTTCAGAGGGGCACTGGCCAGGTCCACACATATCATAGGTGGGAGGGGGTGCTAACTCCCACTGGGTTGCTGAGCTGTCCCCCAAGCCCCTTTACTCCATGCCTCTTTGGGGGTAGGGAGGAACAGGGGAATGAGAGTTCAGCTCACAGATTTATGTTCATAAGAGAAAGACCCCTGCCCCCGCCACCACACACACACACAAAGGTCTTTACTTGGTGGTATTAAAGGGGCAGTATTCTAAGTGTCCCCCATATTTAATGGCCCAGCTCTCTAGAATCTGTAGAAGGAAGATATACCTGATGCTTATTGCCCAATCCCTACTCTGCGAAGATCAAGAGGCATTTGACCTTGGAGGGAGATATCATCTGTTCTTCACTTCTCTGTTCCTTTCCTTCCACCAAGGAAATGTGAGTGGTGTTGATGTGTGTCTTGTTCTCCAGGATTGGGGCAGAAGGAAGGATGAAGAACAGGGCCAGAGAGGCTTGGGGTTAGCATAGCTGCTATATGGGTGAAGGCAAGCTGAAGAGCCTAACAGCCCCTGCCCATTCCTCTACTGAAACACCTTGTTTCACTTTCTCACTATAAGAATAGGAATAAGATGTTAAAGCTCACCCACATCACCTTCTCAAGGGTGGTCACATACCTTTGCCCCTTCCACCAACTGGCCAAGAGGGAGAGTCATGCTCTTGGGAAGAATGAGCCATCCAGGTTTGCTCACCAGCTTGGGCTTTACTTTAGTTCAGTACTGTTTTTATCAGACCCGTAACTGCTGGCTCTACTTAGAGTGACAGTTTTGCTGAAGGTTCTTACCCCACCTCTCCTGACATCCTCTAAGCTCTTGCCTGGAGCCAAGAGGCGTGGTGGTGAAGTAAGGATAGGGTGTGGATCAGGAGATTCTCAACTTGGCTTCTAGGCACTGTCCAGCTGGGAGGCAGAGGGGAACTTGTACTCTGAAGCCTGTGACTCCTCTTAAGCCTCACATCTCTTCACCACTACTCTGGTGCCCTGGTTATCTGTCCCACAGCGAGAGGTATTTTATGTCCATAAAGTGCCCGTGGTAAGTGCTCAGAATTCATCTCTTGGCTGTGGCGGGTGCTGTCATTTCTCATTCCATTGAGGGGAAGAAACTGAGGCACAGCGAGTCCAGAGGAGAATGGGTCAGGGTTGTGGGAGGAATTAATGGGCCTAGCTAGTAACTTGAAATGGCAACCAGTCTCTGCCTGCTTCCTAGCCTTCCAAACCCGGGAGTCTCCATCCTTCCCATCCTCTGTTCTAACTGGCCTTGTCAGATGCTTTTCCCCACTGTACTTTCCCCTCCCTGCTGCCAGGTACTGTTAGATTCCAAAAATAAAAGGAAAATAATTATACACTCTGCTTCCTTGTTCTCCCCTCTTCCACCCTGAGCTTTTGGGGTTAGGGGACTAAAATATCCCCCTTCCAGAATCCCTCCCACCTTGGTCTGCTGGCTTTATTCCCTAGCCCAGAGCAGTGATTTGGATTCAAATGCCCTGTAACCTTCAGCCTCCTTACTGCTCCTTTCTTGACCTCTCCTAACGCTTTCCAGACCCAGGGGACTCTAGGGTCTCTATACTCTTTCTTATTGACCTGAAGATAGAGGCTGGGAGCAGGGCCATTCCAGAGGCTCTTTGGTCTCTCTCTTGGCTGAGGGAATTTGGGCTTAAGCAGGCTGCACCCTCTGGCTAAGTAACTCAGTATCATGAGGGTTGACCTGAGGGTTTAAAGTAGCTCTCATCATATAGATCCTGGATGTTGAGGGTTCTGTCTCCCACCCCTCTATCCCCAGCTCTTAAACCCTAACCTCTTACTATTTCCATGACAACTGGCTTAAATTCAACCCATTTGGCTCAGAAAAGGTTGAGTTAGGGTGATAATGGGTTAGAAACTAAACTTCATGTGTCGACCCTCTTGCCCTTTACTCCCATTCCCAACCCTGGAGGCTTTATACAAGTGCTTAAGTGGGTAGGTGTTGGGGAGAGCAGGGTTTGGGGAATAAGGGATAAATGGGGCACAGTGGGCAGGGGCCCTCCTATTCCAGTAAAGCCAAATACCAAAAAAATGAAAAGTCACAATAAATAAATAAATAAAAATTCCCAAATCCTTTTGCCCCTGCCCTCACTTCCCTTCCCCTAGCCACTGTGGAGGGAGAGAAGGGAAAAAGAACGGACTTTTGATTTCTTCTCCTACTGAGTAGTCAGGGGATCTCCCCAAACTATACCAAGCCCCTCACCTTGCCAGTGGAAGAAAGGAGGCTTGGTGTGGGGCTTTCATTTATTACTCCATTTCAGTCTCTTTCTCAGTGTTTTGTCTCTGCCTAGTCTGTCTCTTCTGCCTCTCTCTCTTTGCCTTCTCACTGCTGCTCTTTTTGTTCCTCTGTCTCTATCCCTCTGTCTCTACATCTCTCTGTCTTTTTGTCAAACCTTCGCATCTGCAAACTTCAAACACTCCCCACCCTGACTATGCCCCTCCTTCCCCTTTCCCCCAAACCCCTCACCCCTCAATACCCACCTGCCTCCCTCTGTTGTATTGCACACTGCTTGGTCGGGGAACAGGGTGTGATGTTCATGGGAAGAGTGGAGGGAGCTCTAGGGCTTGGGGGAATGGGGGCAGGGCTGGGGGTCTTGGGGTAGGGTCTGTGGGGGAGGCATCCTCTATCCCCCACCTTAAGAGCAGCCACAGCGATCCACCACCATGCCAGGGATCTTGCCGTAGATAATCTGCTGCTTGTCATTGAAGTAGAGCATGTTGATTGGGGACATCTTGGTGGGGGTACAACAGGGCCCAGCAGAGCCTCTTGGATTGGCCTGCTGCACCAAATGGGTATGCGGATATTTTTGCATGAACATGTACTCGCACTGGCCGGAGCAGTAGTTGGCCTTGTAGCGCTTAGGTGCGATGATCCAGTCCCAGCCGAAAGCCTCAAAGTCCACTGTGAGGGGATATCGGCAGCAGCGGGACTCGCTTGAGTGCTCGTCGCAGTCCAGACCCAGGTTCCGCCGGGAACGTTTTGTGTTCTCTAGGACTCGAAGCTCCATGAATGGATGCTGAGGGTCAGGGAGAGGGGAAAGAAATGTGATACGGCCCTGAACAGTTCCTCTTCCCTGTTCCTTTCCCACCTGCCAGGGGCATCAGAATAGAGACCGCTGACTTCTCAGCTTTTCCATTGCTCCCACCCCCAGAATTTATCTTCTGCCCACTTTTCTTGCCAGCTAGCTAGCTCTCCTCCAACTCACCATCTCTAATTCTTACTCTTCTGGCAAACTGACCCCCGTCAGCCCCTTGGCCCAGTGCCTCAACAGCCAGTTTTTGTGTTCTCACAGCTCTTCCATTAACTGACACCTTTACCTTCAAATCCAGTTTTTAGCTGTTGTCTGATTTGGATCCTTGAGAAGTAACAGTTGCCACCCCACTCCTCAGCTCCTCTAGAAGGAGCTCCTGACCCCAGAGAAGTAATGCTAGACCCCAACCTCCTTCACATTCCTTGTCTACCTTTTCCAATGTAACCCCATCTCCTCGGGGCCAGGTTACACATATCCACCACCTCAGGCCCCCTGCTCACCAGCCCCTCAGCTCCCGGCCCCAGGGAGGTGACAGCCAGGTCTGTGCCACTGGGATCAAAGGCGTTGATCTCGATGCCCCAGTTGCTCTGTGGCTGGCGGAACCAGCTGTGTAGCACTTGCTTGAAGTCGATGCTCTGCCAATGGCCTGAGCGTGAGTGCAGCTCAATCTTCAGTGAGCGGATACGGATGTGACGCCGGCCTCCGCCCCCTCCCCCTGCGGTCCCTTCCCCATTTAGGGGTTTTAGTCGCAAAATCTGCAGGTAGACTGTGGCTGGGCGGGGTACAGGCCGTAGGTACACCCACAGCTGGGCCTTCAGTACCTTTGTGAACATCACCTTGGGGCTGAAGTGAAAATGGCAGCAGAGAGGGCTGCCATCTGTCTGTACTGCTGGGTCCGCTGATAAGAGAGAAGGGCACAGCATCAGCAAAGGGTGTTTGTGTAGGGTATCAGTAGTCCTGGGTGGCATTGGCAATCTGGACTTCTCAGCCTGACTTTTCCAATTCTTCACCCTTCTCCCATGCCTGTCTTATAACATGTCTCTGGTACCTAAAACAGCACTTCCTCTATAGGATGATGGCCCTATAAGGCCTTACTGATATGTATTCATTTCCTAATCCACTTGCCCTAATATAGATTCCCGTCTACCAGATAACCTGCAAAATTATTCCTCCACCACCATCCTTACTGGCCTCCAACTTTTCCCAGCATGTAAGGCTCCAACATTTTCTGAATCTTTGAAGCTCTTTATAGAAGCCATACCTCCTATCACACCTGCTGCCCTTCCGTCACCTTGCCCCCTATCTGCTCTGACTTATCTGCTGGGCAGGTAGAGCCTGGCACATCCCTCCCCCACAAAAAAAAAAAACAAAAAACAAAAAACAAAAAACACAGATGGCCTCAGAGAGGGGATAACCCAGGGTCCAGATAGGGAGCATGAGCTAAATTTATCCCATTATGTAAACCAGAATTCAGATCTAGGCTTCTTGCCTCACTCCCATTAGGAATAACACCTAGCAAAATGGAACTATCCAAGCACTTCCTATACATCTGTCTCCCCATTCTCTCCTAAGAAGTTTCTTCAGCTGCTGCTTCATCATCATCACCATGACTGCTCCAGCTCTTGAGGAAAGGAATAATTACCTTCATGGTGTTGCCTCCTATTTGCCTAAAGCACCAGAAATAATATTAAATACACCAGATCAACTACAATGCCTTTTTTCTCCCCTGAGCTTCCTTTGGCTTCTCAGTCTAGTGCCGGTAGGTCATGACAAAGTTTTAACATCCCAACTTTACATTTTGACCCATTTCTCCTTGCTCTGGACCATAAATTGATCTTTCTTGGGTCTAATGAACAATTCTCAATAAATATCTGCCTCTGCTTCCATTCCAGCTCCTCTTCACTGCCTTTCCTAAGTCAGTTGGGAGTGCCCTACAACATGTCTCCATTGGACAGTATATGTCTATCCTCACTCTAGATAGGAAGAATCAGGAATGAGCTTCCAGAGCCATAGAAGCAGAGTCAGGAAGTCTGGGCCTTTAAGTATCCTCCCCATGTCTTGAGTTCTGCAAAATCAGGATGGACTTAGGATGTCCTGTCAGCTCTTCCCCACTCCCACCCTGGGAGAAAGAGGACCTTCTAAGTGAGATGAGGAGGAAAATGCTTAATGAACTTCATATATTCAGGATATGATACCCAAAGTCTCTATAGCTTTTTTTTTTTTTTCTTGATTATTCTCTGAGGTCCCAGGGCCCTGGCAGTCCAGTTATTTTACTGGCTGGAGCTTCAGTGATGGTGCAATGGAGTAGGGTTTGGGGAGTGAGAATTCAGAGATTAGAAGTAGCTGGGGTAGGGAAGCTACTAGTGAGATGGGGAGTGACAAGCAACATCCCAAATAGCATACTCTACCTAATTTCAGCATAGGAATTGCCTGTTTTCTTGCCATTAGGTACTAACCTCCATGAGAGTAGACACTATGTTATTCATACTGTGTCTGTTTTGCTCACCATTGTAGCTTTAGTGCCTCCCATAGTGGCAGACAGCACTCAGTAAATACACAGTCAATGAACTCCCTAAACTCCCAATCTTAAATTATACAGGCAAGTGCCTGAAAGTTCTTCCTGGCATCTAAATTCTGTTCTTTGACTATAATTGAAGTGGGTTTAATCACTACCTGATTCCTTACTAACCACTATATAACTTTACTAAACTTCTCAGTGTGATATAATTCTTGCTTCACATGAGTGCTAAGCATTAACTAGACAATGTGAAAATAGAAAACGAACAAACCAACATTTATTGAGAAGCTACTACTATTTTCGCATTCTGTACTAAGCTCTAAACATAACCCTCCCTCTACCTAAGCTGATCCAGGGTTTGAAGATGAGGGCTACATCTAAGTCTTTGGTTCCATGTACTTGTCCCCCAGTGGACAGGGGACAGTCAGTGCTACAAGGAGGTAGGGCATAGGGAAAAAGGAAAGAGCAGAGAGAAGAGCCAGGGGAGAGACTGGAGATGGTGAGGGAGATGAGTTAAGAGTTGAAAGCAGATGAGTAGATATAGGGAGAGAAATAGAGGCTAGAGTGGAAAAATGCAGGGGATAATCATGGCAAAGGGAGAATAAGTTTGGGAGTTTGAGAATCCTGATGCGGGGGCAGTGATAGAAAGGAGTGGGTGATGGTTAGAAAGTTAAAGGTGGGAGGAAGCTAAACCTAGTGGGGTAAAGGAGAGAAAGGATAGAAAGGGTACAGACGGAGGAACAAAGGAGAAGCAGGTAGAGCCACAGAGGGAAACGGGGCTCGAGAGAGTCCCCAACACACATATGCCGAGCTCTGATGGGGAGGAAAAGGGGCCACATCTGTGTTGAATTGATCGGGCTGGTGGCAGGCAGCAGGTCAGGTTTAGTAGGCGGCGCTGGTGGGAGAGAGAGGTCACTGCACTATTTTCAGCAAATGCCCAACCCCCTCCCTGCACACCACCTCCCCTTCCCCCCACCCTAACCCCCCCCAACACACACACTCCCAGCCATGGCTGGAAGGCCTAAGGGCAGGAGGTTGGGCTGAGAGGGCAGGGGCCTCTTGGTGTGGGGAGGAGAGAAACTCAGGGGCTGGGCTTGGCTCCCAGAAGGGCAGGGGGCTGGGTTCCCAGGATGAAGGCTCGGTGGGAGAGCCTGAGAGGGTAGAGGGAACTAGGGCAGGCAGAGCAGCCTAGGAGAGGTGGGGGCTGGGGTCCAGGGTTGAGGGCTGGGGGAGGGGAGGGAGGGGGAGGGGAACGGAGGCCATCTCTGCTGACAAACACCTCCCCCGATTAGCAGAGCACAAGTCTCTTATTAAAGCGGGTCCCTGGGGATTAGACTATAAAAGTCTCTTTTTCCTTTTCCCCTCTCTCCCTCCCCTCCCCTCCCCTCCACTCCCCCTCCCTCTCTTAAGAGCTCAGCTAGGCTCTTAAAGGGGACGTACAATACCTGGCCGGAGACCCAGTTCCCTACTTGCACAAGACCTGGGGTGGCACCAGAGTGGAAGTTGGGATGGGATCCCACCAGCTAGTGTCTCCTCCCCACCCACCCAGGCCTCACCTGCACAGCCCAACTCATGTAGGCAGGGTCCCTTCACTTCCTGTATTCCCATTGCCAGAGCTAACTCTGGTGGGCTCGGGCCTGTTGGTTAAGGGATGCTAAGGATATTTAGGGGCAAGGGGAAGTCCACAGCCCCATCACCCATCCTGGAAATCTTCACACACACTACACCACATAGACTAGAGTATCTTTTCCCTCTGTAACCTTCATCTTCCAGCAAACTCTTGATCTGAATTCCTCTATAACTCTGTTTCCTAGAAACCCCACCCCCTACCCTCAGTCGATCTGAGACTGATCCTACTAGCTTCCATAAGCAGAAGCCTTAAGAATAGAAGGGAAACTGAGGAACCCGAGACCAGATCCCCATGCCTCCCACCCCCACAGCCAGTTAGTTTCCTGGTTCTTTGAGCTTAACAGCCCCGACCAAGTATTGTGGAATTGAGAGGTCTGCAGAAATACCAGGGGCAGTGTGAGGCACTCAGCCCCCCAGATGCACACCTGGGTTCCTGTGCCTCTCCCATGGGGGTGGGCCACTGGGACTCCCCTCAGCCCCCAGCTTTTTATGACCCATCTGCCAATAAACCAGTCTCCCCCGTCTTCTGTTCACAGCCATAAAACCAAACTCTGTGTGTGTTGCAGGGGGCTGTGGGAAGGGGGGAACCTTGCCAAACCACTAGGGAATAAGAGAGGCCTGGTTCCCTGTAGTTGGGGAGGGGGGAGACCTCAGTGGGGGAGGAGGAGAAGGAGTCACCTGACCCTAGGGAGAGCTGGAAAGGGCGGGGGGGGGGCGGGGGCGGGTGTAGTATTCGCCAGGATTTTCCAGGTCATAAAATTTCAAAGCAGCTCATGTCTATTATATATGTTCATCTTCCGTTTGGTCAGGGGCTCGGATGCCTGGGTTCCCGCTCCCCCATCTATTTCTTTCTCTTTTTTCCTAGGTCTTCCTCTCTCTCAAGTCCAGCTGCGGTAGGGGCGGGCAAATAAGGGATGGAACACTAAGGTTTGAGTAGCCAATGAGTGTCCTTAGCCCCCAGCGCAATGGAGTTGAGTTCTCTGAGCTCGGTCAGTATCAAGAAGGCACAGCTTTTCCACCCCTTCGGATACCCGGTCTGAGACAAGGCTCAGGATGGAAAGGGTGCCAGCTGGGTTGCCAGGAGGTGTACAGGCTCTGGGACCCTATTCTTGGGAGAGAGCACACAGTTCTCTGCAGCCGAGTGGGCACGCTGCGAAAGGAGCACGGAGTGGGGAGTTAGCGCCAGGGCCACTGGGAGGCAGGGAGCACTGCAGTCCAGCTGGGGCTGCGGGGGTCCTGCAGCCTCCCGATTCTGTTCTCCAGCCTCCCAGCCACGGCTCTTCAGGACAGAGTCGCTGCCCAGCCCCAGCTTCCCCGGACTCCAACAACGGTCTTTTTCGCATACTGGGGGTGGAAGGCAGTATCTCGAAACCCGCCCCATTTCCCCCCGCCCCAACCTCCGGAAACTGGGCGTGCATACAACTTTGCAGCCCATCTCCATCGCTCGAAAAACTTCTATGAAGTAGCCCCCGCTCCCTAATTCGTCAAGTTTTCGCAGGAAAAGCTTCCGGGCCGGGGCAGCGGGGAGCGCCCCGCTTGGAGCAGAAGGCGCCCATCGCGGGGCCAGAGCCAGCACCCCACTGCTCGCGCCCCGCAGCCCACTTACTCTCCTGGGCCATGCTAATGACGGTCTCGGTGGTGGCGTGGTACTCGTCCTCCTCCAGGAAGTCCTCGGGCTGCAGCGCGTCGCCCTGGAAGTCGTGTAGGTCCAGAATCTGCTGCAGCGGCGGCGCCTTGGGCAGCAGCTGCTTCACCACCTCGCGGCTGATGTTGGGCGCCTCCTTGAGCCGCAGTTTGCTCAAGATCTGCGACTTGATGCTCTCTAGGCGCAGCTCGCGGCTGTGCTGCCGCCACACGCACACGGGGCAGCCGTCCGGCTCGGGCGCCACGGACGGGGCTGGCCGGCTAGAGCGCTCCCCCCCGACCCCCGCCGCTGCCGCCGCCGCCGCCGCCGCCGCCGCCGCGGGGCCCTCGGCCGCCTCCCCCCGGGGCCGCAGCTCCAGGGCGAGGAGCAGGAAGCCCAGCAGCAGCGGGGCCGCGAGCACCATGCTGGAGGGGAGGGGAGGGAGGACTGGGGGGCGGGGACGCCGCGAGTCCCGCGGGAGGGGCGGTGGGAGGAGGAGGGAGAGAGGGTCCGGGCGGGCGGCGGGATGGGGACTGCCCGGCGAGGACCGGGCCGGGGGCGGGCGCGGCGGCGGGCGGCGGCGCGGCCGGCGGAGGCGGCTGGGGGGGCCCGAGCCCGGGCCAGGCCCTTTATAGCCCCGGCCCCCGTGTCGTCAGCGGCCGCGATTGGCTGCGGAGCCAACAAAAGAGGCAGCGCTGTCATCCGAGGCGAGAGAGGGAGCCGGAGAGATCCGAGGAATAGAGAGAGGGAGGGAGTGAGGGAGCAAGGGCCAGAGAGAGATGAAGAGACAGAGATATGAGGGGGCGGGGGGGGGGCGGATATAGGGGAAAGTCAGAGCCAGAGAGACCAAGGAGAATCAGAGAGAAAAAGGGGGACGAGAGAGAGATAGGAAAAGGAGGAGGAGAGACAGGGAGAGACAAAGAAGGAAAAGAAGAGTCAGGGGGAAGATGCAGAGGTGAGAGACTTAGCTAGAGAGGGAAATAGTGTGTCTGTGGGAGACACAGAACCAAGGAGGAGAAAGACTGGGACAACTAGTGGGAGAGTTAGAATGGAGACAAAAATGGGGAGAAGAGGGGTACCACTAGACAGGGGGAGACAGAGGTCTACAGAGCCAGACCACAAGAGATCGGGGGTCATGGAGATGGGAACAGGGGCAGAGGAACACAGGACAGAGGAGTGCCCTGGGAAAGAGAGGTGGGGAGAGAAATCAGGATTGGGGAGGAGAGAGAGGGGCACAGACAGGGAGATACCAAGGGAGCCCCTGAGGAGGTAGGTGCAGGGGATTGGGGGTGGGGGAGAGGAAAGGCAGAAACTCCTGAGAGAAGGAGCCACGAGAGTCAGCCTCGGTGGGAGCACGGAGAGCCCAGGGGACAGAGGTGGAGAACTTGAGACCAGAGGAGCTCTAGCCATCAGAGGTAGCCCAAAGAAGATGCTCAAGGAAGCCGTGGAAGGAAGCATCAGGCTAGGCTCATCAGAGGGATTAAGGGGACTAGGAGAGGAAGAGGTCAGGGACAACCTAAGAAGGTGGAGAGGTGATGGGAAGAACTGAAACAGAGGGAAGACATAGAGCTGGGAAGACTGTGAGCTTGAAATTGGGGCTTAACAGGGCTAAGGGAGTCAGCCGGCTGGAAAAGGCAGGAGCTAGAGGCCACTGGGGGAGGGGTGGGAAGGAGATGGCTGGAGGCTGCTATACTTGGGGAGAAATCTGGATTTCTGGATTTCTAGCTATATCTTTGGATCTGCAGGGTCTGAGAAGTCTGAGAAGGGGATGGAGGTTGCAAGGGTGAGCATGGGAGAGAAGTCTGCGCTCAGATGCACGAGATGAAATACAGATGTGGGACCAGCCCTAGTCTTCAGGTGTGACCCTAGACACAGCCAGAGAGCAGAGTAGAACAGTACTAAGGTGAAAAACTGTTTTGAAGGTGCTTAACTTCTGACTTCAGGTTTTCCAGGCTTATTTCTGGATCTGAAAGCCCTGGAGCAATAGTCAAATCGAAAATGTTTGGGTCACGCTGGGTACGGTGGCTCATGCCTGTAATCCCAGCACTTTGGGAGGCCGAGGCGGGTGGATCACGAGGTCAGGGGATCAAGACCATCCTGGCTAACACAGTGAAACACTGTCTTTACTAAAAATACAAAAAATTAGCTGGGCGTGGTGGCGGGCGCCTGTGGTCCCAACTGCTGGGGAGGCTGAGGCAGGGGAATGGCGTGAACCGGGGAGGCGGAGCTTGCAGTGAGCTGAGATGGCAGATGGCGCCACTGCACTCCAGCCTGGGCGACAGAGAGACACTCCGTCTCAAAAAAATAAAAGAAAAAAGAAAATGTTTGAAGGAATCAGGTCTTGCTAATTTCCTGGCATCCACAATGTTTATTTAATAAATTGATGAACTTTATTATTGGGCTTCTCAGAATAGAGGGGCATTGGTTTCCTCTCTGGAATTAAAGCCCAATAAGATATCTTAAAGTTGGGCTGGCATAGGCATCAGGAGTACCAGACATAAGGATACAGTTGGGTTGAGGAACTGGAGTAGAATAAGGGAAGAAACTGGGGATCTGGGTATGAGGGGAGGAGGTTGGGTAGAGGTTAGGAGGACCAAGCTGGGCAAGCTGGGGAGCTTTGAAGAGACAATCCATTTCCATGGGCAACAGAAACTGAAACCAAAGCAGACTGGAATAAAAACTTAGCTTGTTCCCTCCCTTGCTTTCAACCAAGACATGGGCATTTCAGTGTTTCATCAAGTTTCTTCATCTATAATATGGGGGTCACAATTCCTACCCTTAACTGGTTGTGAGGATTACATATAAGCAATTGATAGTGGCCTTCATGGGCTTCTTCTCTTTCATGATTCTTCCTTTCCTTTCTGATTTTCCAGAGCAGTGATTGCCTTTAGCACATATTCTAGCATATCCTATTTTCTAAAATGTTTCTCTGATGTCATGTCTTCAACAAAATTGGAAAGGCTGTGAGAGCAAAGTTGGTGTCACCTTCTTCTCCTCCTCCCTTAGAGAAGGTAGTACAGACTTCACTTCCTCACCAAACATGTATCTAGTGGCAGGTGCAAAGATAAATGAGATGCAAAAGTAAGTAAGACTCAGCTCCTTTCCTCAGAGAACAAATAAACTAGAAAAGACACTAGGAAGGCTGGGCGCGGTGGGTCATGCCTGTAATCCCAACACTTTGGGAGGCTGAGGCAGGTGGATCACGTGAGGTCAGGAGTTCGAGACCAGGCTGGCCAACATGGTGAAACCCCGTCTTTACTAAAAATACAAAAATTAGTCAGGCATGGTGGTGTGTGACTGTAATCCCAGCTACTTAAGAGGCTGAGGTGGGAGAATCGCTTGAACCTGGAAGGTGGAGGTTGCGGTGAGCTGAGATCATGCTACTGCACTCCAGCCTGGGCAACAGAGTGAGACTCTGTCAAAAAAAAAAAAGAAAGAAAGAAAGGAGGAAAGAAGGAAGGATGAAAAAGAAAGAAAGAAAGAAAGAAAGAAAGAAAGAAGAAGAAGGAAGGAGAGGAAGGAAGGGAAGGAAGGAAAGACATGAAGAAGAAAGAAAAGAAAGAAGAAAAGAAGAAGAAAGAAAGAAAGAAAGAAAGAAAGAAAGAAAGAAAGAAAGAAGGAAGGAAGGAAGGAAGGAAGGAAGGAAGGAAGGAAGGAAGGAAAAAAGTAAACAGGACCAGCCAGAACTCTAGGCCAGATGCCTCCTGCGTATCTCAATCTGGGTGTTTCAAGGCACTTCAAACATCACAGGTTAGAGAACTCCTCCTTTCTTTCTCCCTAAAATGTGTCCCATCCTGCAGCTTTTCACTTTAGTGAATGACAATCATCCAGGCTAGAAACTTGAATGTTGTGTTTCACCCTTGTCCTCTTGATCATTTCTGAATCTTTGCACAGGTTGTTTCTTCTTCCTGGAACAACTCACCTGACTGCTTCCACTCCCTTCCACCCACCAATCTCTTGGCCAAGTTTACTCTTTCTTTAGGTCTCAGCATAGATCCCATCCAAGAATCCTTTCCTGACTTCAGGTATAGAGTAGCTGCTTCTTCCAGATATATCTGCACCATTCTGTGAGGTATGGAGATTAATCACCTAGCTTCTAGACTAGAAGTAGGCTGGCTGGGCTCAAGTCCCAGCTCTCTTCCTTTCTGGTTGTGTGAACTTGGACAAGTTATCGACAGAGAGACACTCCGTCTCAAAAAAATAAAAGAAAAAAGAAAATGTTTGAAGGAATCAGGTCTTGCTAATTTCCTGGCAGACAGGGAGATACCAAGGGAGCCCCTGAGGAGGTAGGTGCAGGGGATTGGGGGTGGGGGAGAGGAAAGGCAGAAACTCCTGAGAGAAGGAGCCTTTTTGTATTTCTTAATAGAGACGAGGTTTCACCGTGTTAGCCAGGATGGTCTCGATCTCCTGACCTCGTGATCCGCCCGCCTCGGCCTCCCAAAGTGCTGGGATTACAGGCTTGAGCCACCGCGCCCGGCCTGGACAAGTTATTAAGCCTCTTTATACCTCAGATTCCTCACCTGTAAGATGGGGATAATTGTGTGTGTGTATATATATATACACACACATAGAGAGAGCGAGGGAGAGAGAGAGACGGAGTGTTGCTTTGTCACCCAGGTTGGAGTGCAATGGCGAGGTCTCGACTCACTGCAACCTCCACCTCCCAGGTTCAAGCTAAGGATAGATTCACCTATCCTTAGCTGCCCGAATAGCTGGGATTACAGGCACATGCCACCATGCCTGGCTAATTTTTGTATTTTTAGTAAAGACGGGGTTTCACCATGTTGGCCAGATTGGTCTTGAACTCCTGACCTCAAGCGATTTACCCGCCTCGCCTCCCGAAGTGCTGGGATTACAGGCGTGAGCCACTGTGCCTGGCCAAGGATAACAATATTGTACCCATTTCATAAGGTTATGAGGATTAAATGTCTGAAAAACTGTTCTAAATGCATTAGTTATTACTGTTACTCCAACGTACAACCCTGACCTTGGGAGACCAGAATGAGCAAGAACTTTCTCACCAAAGTATTCCTTAACAGTTTTGAATAAAGAATGAACGAGCCCTGCTAAGCGAATTTGATAAGAGTTGCGTAGGGGAAACAAAACAGTGTATTTGTATGTATGAGGGATTATTGGTATCTGCCAAATACAGGGAATTAGAGTCAGGAACATTTAAGACAGAAAGGATTTATATCTCCTGATAGCCTCCTCAGTTTCCGACTAAACTTAATCCAATAAGAGGACAAGACTGCCATCTGATGGTAGAATCTGGAATATCAGCTCCTTGGAGGTGGAACTAAAACCATGGCTTGTTTTATTTTTGCATACGTTGTACATTTTCATTTTAGACATTTAGTTTGAAAAGTTCTATATCATAATGCATTAAGCCTTGTCCTTTCTCCAGTGCCTCCTAGATGTTGCCTC